TTGTATACAAATGTACGTCACAAAATTGCAACTTAGTTATAGTTATATAGTTACTATCAACGGATGTGAAACATTTTTACTTCCTACGTCTACTGGCGCGGAAGTAGTAATCGCGAAAAATTTCGAATATGACATTTTGTTTTTTGGATATTTTGTGACGTTTACATCACGAAAAACCATGTCACTCATTTCCATCGGTCTGTTTATCCGCTAATCATTGGCCCTTGGAAAGTGTCGCTCGGATTTTGATGAAATTTTCATACGAGATAACTTCTATGCCAAGGACGAAAAATCTTTCTAGTTCTAGAAATAAAGAAGATTAAACTTCGCTTTTTGAGGTTTCAGATGCTCCTGATCATTTTCGGAAATATCTTTGTAGAGGTTAGAAATTAAGAGGTTGTGGGGGTGGGGAAGGGTACATCTAATTTTTTTTGGCAGCGTATATTTGCACTTAAAATGGAGAAATATTTACAGACGCGACGCGACGATGTCAACCTTCGTGCGCCAAACTCTGCATCGTCAGCGTTCTTCGACCTCGAGTTATAGTAACGTGGCTGGCGCTTATGGCATGGTTGACTGGTGTGGTCCAGCACCGGTGCCAGATTTTCAATACTCAGGGCATGGACGAAACTTGCTTTTGCATTGTCAAATGGGTGGGGAATATGGAGTATGGGCCTGTTTGACTGACTTGATCCATTTGATTTTTGTTATACATGTTTATATAGGGGAGTAACTTGTGCGAACGTAATCCTCTATGAACTGATAACGGCGTAGCGTGACTTGACGTGATTTTTTATGTATAGTCAGTTGACTCAGGAGTCGCGAGAAGGAAGTCGTCCCTTTGTGGAGTAAAACGGCACATTTACCAATTTTGTGTTCTGATTCTTTTGAGACTTGACGTACATTTTGTTTGTGTGCTAGACATACCCTTTTCATATCCACCACTGCTATCTCTGCCATAAAGTTGTTGATAAATCACAGAGAAATATAACCAGTGAAGATATGCACCTGTAAAAATGCTGATGTACGAGTCGGGCGTTATCACTAAACTCACGCAGTCTGAGTTGAAACGAAGAAACACTGCACATCATACTGTCAGCAGGATTTTGCCTTAATAAATTCGATAGCGATTTTCTTATCAGTTCCACAACAGACGGTTGTCCAATTTGTTTGAATGTCGTTCCCAGAAAAATGGCCACCAGTTTTTCTCTAGGCTTTTTTTCGATATCAGATGGGGGTGTGCATAGTGCAGATTGTTTCTTATCAAACAAGCAGGGAGGTGCCTCTGAGGTGCCAAATTAATTAGCTCGTTCAGCCAACGTAAAGAGGTCAACCGGTGCAGAGCTTATATGCTAAATAGCAGTACAATGCCTTGTCCGTGGAAGTTCACGATTTGATCTGGAAAACGCTAGAATATTTCTAGGCGCGTCGATATGGGATAAATACCCAACCAGATGGCGGAAGTAGTTACCCCAGTGGACATAGTCAAACAACCCAAAATGTCGTAGTCTAGTCAACATGGTTATAAATTGTCATAAATTATTGTTATAAATTAGTGTAAATGTAATAAATTAGACTTTGGGCAGTAAAAACGGTACTTTCCTTACAGTAGTAGGCGTGGAGCAGCTTAGACCATTCTCAAACTTATTTCGTTTTCTGTCCATTTAATCCACAAACTATCAACTCTATCAGCCATAACAATTTGGCAATTTAATCTAGCATTATGTTTGTGGAAGAGATATTTTTGGAGATGAATTAGTTATTGGATAGTAAAGACACACGTCTTTCCATTTTGTCCCTGTATCTTGTATCATATTTGTATTTTAATTATAACCTGTTTTCGTCATATCAGAAAGCACAATTTTGATAGGAAACTAACGCCTTATTTACTCGCTTAGTCCTAAAAATATTTATGTACTATAATACTCTTACGCCAAAGGTTTTCGCCCTATACAGTTACATACACTTCATAAGAGATGGCGCATCTAACACGGGTCAATTTTTTTACACTGGCCGTTCGTTCTGAAGAGGAGTGTTCTGTGGATGTTTCCCTTTTGCTCAATGCGTGTGCGGCGACCGATCCACTTCTTTTCACAATGCACTTCGCTCCCGGCGAATAAGACAATTTCAGAAACTTGGTCTGAATTATTCAATACGAATTCGTCCAAATGAGATAATAATTGATGCGACACCTGTATTGAGTCGGCCTGCATAAAAAATGATAAAATTTTACAATTTTGTGCTGCAAGATCGATTTGGATAAAAACTTTCCTATACGCACTTTCTAATTCCACCTAAGCACAACAAAAAGAGGACCTTTACACGTAGGTAAAAGTATTGTCATTCCTCAACAAGCTTTTGCGTAGGTACAGACATTTATTCCCCGGTACAGTTTCGCACGTGGAAAACCATGCTTCTTCACGACATGAAAAAAAAATAGCCATTCTACTACCGCCCTTGACCACCGCATGGCTTAAAATACAAAATCCGGAAATGTCAGCTAGGTGTCAATCTGGCAACACCGCGCGCATTCTACCGGTAACCAGTGAGGCGTTGAATCAACTTGGCGTTGGCAATTTTATTCCAGTTTGCGACAGACAACGTGAAGGTGTAGTCGTCCGCTCACAGCGTCTGTTTTCCACGTGACTAGCGTGTTTTCCGAGAAAAGAGATTTTCAAAGTTTTCGCGAGTGGTCTATCTCGATCCGCCTGTTACTGTAAAATCGGTGAAAGGTTTGCTCTGGTGATATTATGTATACCGTCGTCAACAACATCAAAAGCAGTCTTGCTGTTTTTTCGGCACTTTTTATCACATGTAAGTGTTAGAGACAGTTTTTTAGATATTCGAATATGAGTGCCAAACAATGTTGCGAATTTGAAGAACAGATTGATAAATGAATAAATAGTATTTCGTTGATGAACCAACTTTAAATTACGTGGCATCTTGACAAAAATGTTTTAATGATGATAAAATATAACAATCGCAAATAATAATAAAGTGGCTTTATTGGTAATCTTCCTCATCATGGCCAATCAGCTCTATTTTTTATATATTTATATTGTATTCTTCTTACGTTTACAGGCAATTGTTAATTTTATGGCAAATGGAATAAACATTGCTTTAGGGCTCGAGTCGGGTTTTATCGAATTTTTATTATTAGGAGGAAAATTAAAAAAAACGGTTGAAACATGCTTTCATGGATTTGATAAATTATATTGTTTTGACTATAAAATTTTACCACAAAACATGTTAAATGCTATTTTAGGGCCATATTTGATGTTCTGCGATTGGCATTGCGATAAGAAGTATATAGAGGTCCGTATAGAAGTACGACAATCTATGCAGTTCTATGGCATTAGTCTGGTAGGCTTACATGTTGAGCTGTATCGTAAATGTCCAGAAAAAAAATGTTATTATGCTTACATAGAAGCCTTTCCAGTCGTAGCAGCTGTCTTTTAAGTCTACTATTTCCTCCTGAGTCGCGGCGCACCGCTATTGCATTCGAGGTTATGTGGTGCTGTGGAGTTAGGGGTTTTAACTGATTTTCATTATATACATCAATAGGTAACTTAAAACGCTTACTGCTTCCAACAAAATATGAACATTATTGTTCAAAAATCAAAATTTACGAATTTCGTAACATCCGTACCTCAATCGTTTTTTCGTACACCACAAAATATGTTCCAATGACTTTTTTAATTTTTAATAAAAATTCGATAAAACCCGACTCCTCCGTGTTTTAGGTTTTAGGTGATTCTTGTTTCAACCTAAAGGGCTCTGAACACCGTACTTGATAATAGCTAATTTAAAAAATGAATAGACCCATTGAGTCAGTCAAAAATGCCCAGAAGTTGGCAATTTGATATTTTTCTTATGTGTTTAAAATTAATTTTTATTTGAGCTTAACAAAAATATGATCTGATTGTTATTTTAGTTTTGCGGTTTAGCCTTTTTTAACGAATGTGTAAAAAACTTGAAGACGAAAAATTGTAATACCAAGTAAAGCGTTTAAATCATCTAGGGACAACAAAATGATGATGTTAACAATCTTCGACCGAGTTTGGGTAGGTGTTATTCAATTCAGATGTATCTTTCAAACCTTGTAGCGGCAGTTTAAAATGTATATCATAAAATACTGATGTGATAGTTATAGTAATTTTTTTCCCAGAAATATCTGTTTGTGTAAGGAATTAGCAAAACATTCGTATGCGGGTGATTGTGTGACTAAATTCAAAGGAATTTGTAAATACAAATAATATAATAATTGTATGACTTAATTTTAAAGGTAATTTGACAAACCAAATAATATAAAGTTATATCATAATAATTGCTTGAATGTGTACAGAAAAAGTCTAATAGGTATTGTGGGTCATTGAACCAGCTTAGTAATGTATAATTTCGACTTTATTTGATGCTTTTAGAAAAATAATGAAACGGCAATGATCACCTGCACACGGGAATAGCAATGCATAAAAAAGATGAAACCATATATGTATTTGGGATATATCCAACAGATTTAGGGCTCTTTGTACGATAGACTAGACAACATTGCCAACAAACATATTTATATTTCTATTTACAATGAAAAGAAAACAAGAAACAATCCACTGGTGCAATGGAGGAACCTAAATGTACATACAAGTTTCGTTGATTTAGAGATAGATGCTGAAACACGTATTTTGTTTGTTTTTTGAAGATTTGTTTCTTATGGCCGCTTAGAAGTTCTTGGTATTCACCAACTGTCGCTGGACTACTTCAATAAATATTAAACTTTTCTTTAATTTTTATCTAGTAGCATGTTTTTGGAGTCAAATATTCCAGATCTGACGTTTAATGATTTTTCACATTATTCATCTTCCCTAAAAGTCTATAGTATCTCTTCTTATGTAGTTGGGCAATCATTTTGAAATCAACGCCTTACTCGCTATTTTTTTCCTTTTCCTATATCAGTTGACCTTTTGTTCGATATCGTTTTGCCATTCTGTCGCTGAAAAGATTCGTCAATGTTTGGCGGCTAGTTTTTTCATCAGAAGATGAATAAAGACTTCTCCACTTCTGCTTGCTTCTTCCTTAAAAGGCAATTCTTCGGATTTTCCTTTCATAGCTGACGTAGTTCCCTGGTGGTCATCTCTTCAATAGTTTTTTAAACATTGTTTTTCTTTTGTTTTAAATACCTTTCCATATTTTTCGTTTTCTGTTCCCGGCTTTTAACTGGATCTTCGTCTTTCCTGAAAAATGTTCAAAAAATTGCAATGATTGAATGACGTATTGAACAAGATTTATTTATTCAAATATCGACACAACACACATTCAGTTAATTCTTGCATGTATGTCAGGGAAACTCATTTGAAAGTAGTTTATTAAAGAAATTACTATCACTAAAATAATTTTTTACTTTCCATGGTAATGATGGAATATCATAACTTGCTTGAAAGCAGAAATCTTACAATTTGACACAAGAAACTGCGATTTTGAAGTTTCATATACTCAGACTTCATAATAATGGCGGGAAGGTGACCGACACGGAAATGACGGGATTTTCAAGGGACAAACATCAAAAATAGTATGCCTAAGAATTTTTACAATCAGTTAATGCCCCAATAAAGTAAGTAAGTAAAGAAGTTTGTTTATATTTTTTTAGCTTTCAGCTATATGGTTTCATGGGTCAATTAGGATTTGTTGTCTAACTTGGGACAGCCACATGAATGACAAACAGATAGGCTTTATCAGTGTAAAAAAATTGTTTCCTCAAATTATATATACTACCATTAATTGAATCCTTGACAACATAAGAACACAACCAACAAAAATTATAATAATATACAAAATTATTGTTTTTACTCCCTACGCCACTGGTTATAGATAAAGGACATGAAAGTACTCATTATTCGTACAATCTTTTATGCATTAAAAGTTTCGTCGTGGTTTTTAACGTCTGTTGTTGCACTTATTGGAACATCCATTTTCTCTTAAAAATTAATTTCCAACGAATCCAATCAGGTAATTAGTAACAAATTAGAAACAAATATCTATAATTTTTGACAATGAACGAGAATTCGCGTTTATATTTTTGATTTGTCTTTGATTTGTCTTGGTACGATGCAATAACTCTAGTTACAGTGAGATTCACTCTAAAAAGTGACACCTTACACATATCCGAACACTCGCAGAAAAATATTTCGTATTAGAAACAGTATTAAAGGCAATTTGTCGAAAATTTATTTGCTACCAAAGAACCTTTTCTAGATAAACTTATAGAGCAGCACTAGATCAACAATTGTAGTTTTCAGGATTATTAAAAATGAATTAAACTTGCTGTAAATGAAGATTTTTCGCTAATCAAAGCTATTCGAAATAAAAAATGGATTTAATTTATAATATGACGTCTGTTAAAAGGAATTGATGTCTCATAAAAATTTAGTATATATGTTTGATATCTTGCCAAATATTATCGAATCTAATTTTACAATTTGTAGTATCAGCTGCAATTCTTATATCTCAAATGAGATAAATTAAAGGTATTAGGATTAGGGTTAAATTGAGATTATGTAAATGTATAGACATTGCAATTGTGAAAGTGTATTTGGGGTACGACCATACTACTATCGGTGTAATTACCAATATGGACCCTACAAACCAGGAGAACAGACGAATAGAGAAGAACGACCCCAAAACTGAGGGCGTAATGATCGTGTGCCAGATGCGCTACTGCGCATGCGCATGGCATCTGAGGTTAGGAAAAATTTTGATGTCGAAAGAGAATAGGATTGAAGTATTCCATGTTTTGAGTAGTCCAACCCGGATCATCCTTGTCTATTAAATCTGCTAGAGCTCCTGTAAAATACACCTTTAGTTCTACCAATTTATTTCCTCAAGACGTTACCTTTTCTAAACCACCTGGAATAAATTCTTGCATATTTTTTTTTTTTTGAGAATAGCAGGAAAGAGTACCGCTATTCATGTAGTTCTCCTTCTTGAATACCCTAGCAATTATGGCTTTTAACAAAAAGAAAATATTTTGTACCTCATTGCCTTACTCCACTTAGACTGTGCACACTGATGGAAACAGACTCTTGTAACAGTAGTTTTTACGAGTTTTCGTCTACTTGCTTATCAGTTTTAGACAAAGCTTTAGACAAGTTAAAAGCCGTGACTTTATTTTTTAAATATTTTGTGATAATTGAAAGCTTAGTTACAAAACGGAGCGCCATTTTCCTGGAGGTATACCCTCATAGAACAGCAGCGATCAATTGCAATTTTTCAGTAATTGATCGCTGCAGCTCTTCTTTTGACACCCTGTATAGTTGCTTTTTTATGGGACATACTACAGAATTTTTACTGTCGATGAACGTATTTTTTACTCGTTAATGAAAAACTTAAAAAGAATCATTCTGGTATATTTCCAAATGGGAAACCAGATACTTCAACCGTATAGGTACGTCCGGTTTTTTGCCGATGCCTCGATAATTCACGCTCAAATGGATTTCTGGAAAATTTGCGGGATTACATAGAGTAAGTTCTACACGTAACAAAAAATACGCGTTTTGATTTTTCTCTAATAATAGAGTTCTTTGTCCGTAAATATGCTATGCTGTTTTTATACCCTAAAATAATAATGTTAAGGAACCAAGTCTGGGTTTATCAATTGCGGTCTTTAAAGCTCTTTAGGTTACAATTAATTTTTTTTTACTGCTTCAGAGACATTAATTCATGCTACCGATTACGCAAAATCATGTTTTTATCACGGTTTTATTATTATTTTATTAGCTTGACCTATAACCTAATTTTCATCAATTTGAAGAAGACTAAATCATTCGAAAATTTGCACAGTGGTCGAGGGCCAATAAACTTTGAATTTTAGAATTTTTTATTGATTTGTTTGTAATTTTCTCAATTTTTATATTATTCTTATTCCAAATTAATACTTGATTGTTGCACTTTCTTTCGCAGTAACACAAACTCTACGTGAAAATTATTTTCTATTCTTTAGTTCGATTTGCTACCAAAGCGTGCTTTTTTAGTTTTCTTTAAATTATAATTCATTGTGTTATTCCGGTCATTCACCATTTCCTGCAAGTGCTCAAGATTTTCCTTTACTCCTTTACCCTAGCTTATTAACTAGCTGCTATTTACTGAGATTATGGATTCGTGCAGCTGGTTTTATGGGACCATTTATGAAGTTTTTAAATCCACACAAAAGCTAGTTAAATCATAAAAATATATAGATACATAGAAATAGTACAGGTAATCGCGAGCTGCAACGAAAAAATAGAAAAATTGTCAAGTAATTTGACTTTAAGCTTTCAACGCGTTGACATCAATCTGTACGTCATTTGCGATAACCGAAAAACTCCTGATTTAGAAACGTATATACTTCATACAATTTGTTATTGACTACACCCTGTGACCAACAAGTTGAAAACGACGAAAAATCGATTTTCATTCCTTTAAAACGTTTCGACTCTACAAAATTATCTAAACTCAAAAGGTTTCATCCTGGGGAAACTTTTTAGCTTTCCTTTATTTTGGAATTTCATCAAAATCCGAGTTATAGTGATGTGGTTTTTCATGATCAAAGGTTGTGAAACAGAATATCTCGATTTTTCGCGAACACAGCATTGCATCATATGTATTTTAATGGGCGTGGGAAGTAAACATATATTTTCCACGAAAGACTAGCTTAGCGGCAGTTATTACCTCCGTTATAATTTTTTCATCTAGAATATAAGTAATTATTTATACCAACAACAAGATTGACAGATATTAATATTCAATTATGCAAATATATCATTTCTGACTCTCATAAAAATAAATACATGTTTTTCGCGGTATATTATTATGTTTAATTAATATGACTTGAAAGCATTTCGCACCATTCTAGAAGCTACTTGGATTAATAAAATGTCGAAAATAAATCTAATCTGGATTCAGAATTCTGTCACATGTGCCAGAAATGGAAACTCTTGGCAACATGTTGCAACTTGCGTCGCGGACATTTCACTTTGAAGCATGTACTCGGCCGTTCTGACAGTTCGCTAGATCTTGCGGAACATGTGCCCCGCTAGGTGCGTTTCAATTCAAACAAGCCGTAGACACATACATGCACACAATCCACGCTAACTTTGATAAATGTTTCCGAATAAAAACAACCAAATTCCTGAGATAGGTCACAATACATGCTGCATTGCAACCTGTGATTAGATCGAAGAAATACATGAATAACTGCTGTTAAGGGTAAGCAACATAATCTATTATTCAATTCAATTCAATTCAATGGAGTTTATTGTAACACATACATAATTATGTATCGTTACAAATTGCGAAGTCTGGCCAATGGCCATTTATACTTAACCATAAATGTCATGTCAATGCTTATTACTACCTTAAAAATAAAATAAAAAACTGAAAAAGAAAAGGAAAAAGAAGAATAATAGTAAAAGAAGAATTAATAAATATGACATAATGCGTACGATTAGAACAAAAAACATAATACGTACGATTCAAAGAGAAGGCAATAACCTAAGAGCTCAATAAGTAGTTCTTTTATTTTTTTTAGAAAAGTTGCTGATGAAACATTGTTCGAAAGAGTTGATTAATTTCACCGCATTATACGTAAAAGACCGTTGAAAAATGGTTGTCCTATGTTGTGGCATTGTCAGGAGATTAATGTTGCGCGTATTTAAATTGTGAATTAAGTTCCTACGAACAAGCTTTTGCATAAGATAAACCGGAACAGAAGTTTTTAATATTTTTACGACAAATGTAACAAAGTTGTATTTGAGTAGATCAGAAATTTTCAACCAATACATTGAAGATATTGAGTGAGAAACATGATCGTACCTTCTTAAATTGTTTATGTAACGACTACATGAGTTTTGAATTTTTTGCAGTCTGTATTTTGTGATTTCATCCAGACAGGGATAATAAACTATGTTGCAGTAAGCGATTTTACTGAGTATCAGTGACTCGCATAACATTTTCTTAATTTTTCTATTTAAAACAGTTTTACTTGCATATAGAAGCCTGAGTCTAAAATAACTAGACTTACACACATAGCCAACATGCTCCTGAAATCTGAAATCTTCGTCTAAGTACAAACCTAAATTTTTTGCAGAATGGGAGAATATTAGGATACTATTATTTAATGATAAATTTAACTTTGATTTGAGGAAAATACGTTTTTTCTTGGAGCAAAAAAGTATAGCTGTCGATTTCGATGCGTTTAGAC